ACTACCAAAACTTTAGAGAAAACATCCGTTGCACATACAAAACGTTCAAAGTTAATAATTCTCAAGTCCAAGATAAAACAATTAATCTTCAAAATTTCTCTATACATACAAACAAATACTAGTAGTAGCTGCTGAATTTTTTTTCTCATTGGCCAAGAAGGGGACTATTTTTAATAAAACAATTTGAAATCTCTCTCTCTCTCTCTCTCAACCATAAACAAAAACAAATGCAAAATGAAGCAAGAACATTTTGGCAGTACATAACATACTCTTTTAATACATGTACTCGATGACACAAAAACCACAGTCAAGAACAAAATGAAGACATACAAAAGAAATTTAAGGGAAAAGACAAAACAAACATCTGCCAGAAATAATGCTCACCTGAGATGGTTCAGCCCTGTTGTTTTCCAGATTTTTTTATTCTTCCTCTTTCTATCCTCATGAAAAATTATGACCCTATTATCATTTTATGATTAAATGAACTTGAATCATAGATGAAATGCTTCAATTCAACACTACTTATATAGTCTTGATGATATGTGATTATTTTTTACCTTGACCTGTTTAATTAAATGGTACATGTATTATTCAAAATGATCCCTAATTGTATCCCATCCTAACCCAAAGTCGAATATTTGAAGTGATTTTTTCCCTATATATATTCCTATGTAAAATCTGCTTTAATCTATCCCCAGGGACCATGCTTGGAGCAAAATTGAAAATGCACTGCTTGGTGATACTTGATAATCCTGCTGTTCATGAGCAGATTTTCCTGATATATTTTTCATTCCTTTGTTATATTGTTCCTTTGCAGGTCATGATTTGAGTAGATTTGAAATTACACAATGTCATGGAGTTTTGACATGAATCTATCTTTTCCAACACATTTTCAGATTTCTTAGGACAATGACCTACTGGTATTTTGCTGCTTGATTATTTCCCCACTCAGAAGGATGAGGCTCTTCATTCGAATAAATTGAAATTCCCTTTACCCTAGGATGCTGAGTAGCAACTTTTGTTTGAAATTGGTTCAACTGGTTCTGGAGAAGAAATTGAAAAATGTTTAACATATGCAAAGACAGACAAACAGACATCAGAAGACAGGTACTCAGAAATTTTCTAATTTGAATCTTCCATTCAAAGGAACTAATAAGAAACAAAAATATAAATAAATCATCAATGGGAATTAAGATGCTACCATTTGAAAATTAAAACAAAACATTACACTGATCCATTCCATTGTAAAAGACCTAGTATATCTGAAATAAATTCTAAGCACTCATTCACACACATATGTGATGCTATCAAAAGACACACCTCAAAATGTCCTGCGTATTCAAAAGACCTCATTTATGTCACTGAAACAAATACACTTCATGTTATGAAACATCATACAATTTTGAGTGGAAGAATTTAAAGTCTCAACTAGAGCTGCCAATGATAGATTTGATATTGATGTAAATGTACCATGGATTTAAATTGTTCCTATATATCAATAATTTTTTTTGAATATTTATATATTTCTTACTGTTTTATTTAATAAATCCATACTTTTATGAATCAATAAACAGAAAAAAAAATTGTTTCAGCAATGACAACCCTAGCCTCAACTATATTCTAACCAAAAAACTGTCTGCAATAGCAACAGGATACAAATTTAAAAACATGAACAAAAATAATAATTAAGCCATTTAAAACTAATTATCCTTGAACATTGTAACAAAAACTATAATTTTCAAATTCAAAATACAAAACAGACTAACTACTTTATTCCTCTAATTAAGATTCTGAATCTTTTTTCTTTTTCTTTGTCTTTCCTTCAGGAATGGGCTGTATAACTCCCTTACAAAGCACATCACCATCAACATGTAGCTTCATAACAGGCCAAACAACAAAGTCAATTTTACTTCCCGATTTGGTGAACACCTTGACATATTTATCAATCATTTCCGAGCCCTCCGGAAAATTCCAGTCAAAGGCTAATGGTGGATCCTGTATGGCAGAGAACCAGCAGACTTCAATACTCTGGTTTAGGAATTCCTGTACTTTAGGCCCTGATTCTGCATATGTAGGATACTCGGTCTGGAACACCTGTATGTAAATCACAAAATCATGTACCTTCCTGCATACCATACATCATTTTTTTTTAAATTTGTATAAATATACATGTATTAATAAAAGGTTATACATGTATGCTTCTGTGAAATGCATTAAAACGTTCAGGTGAATCAGTCATAATATCTGCGCAGAGGCTTGTTTAACAGAGTGAGCACTCATGAGCATTTCTGTAGGAATTAGTATAAGGAATTTTGGTGAGTGCTCGTAAACATTCGCTTTGTTGAACAGGCCTCTGATTTTACATACCCGTTGAAGATATGTGAGTGTAGTTCCTCCTTTAGCTTTGAGAAAATCTTTGAGCATTTTGGAATCACTAGGTGATAAAATATGTAGATCACTTTCCTAAAACAAAAGAGAGAGAGCTAATTAGTAAATAATGTTTGAAATCATACATACATGTATTATGATATTTTCCCCTTAAACACATGCAGATATATTTGGAAATTCTCAAGACATTTAAAAGAGCAACAAGAGAAAAATATACTAGATTTTATTCAATTTTCATCAGTCTGAGAATGAGGTAAGTATAGCCTGATATCTGGTACCATAAAACAACTTGCCTGCTCCCTTACCTGTTCTGGCCCCTCCCCCGAGCCGTTACACATCGCCCCTCCTACGTTCAGATCGACAGCCTGTCTGACGGCCGACATGAACCTCATCTCCTGCTCCTCAGCTCTCATTTGACAAAAAGAAACACAGGACTGAAAACAGCAAACAGAACAATGTCAGGGGAATGAATGCATCTGTGTAGATTTTTTTGTGTCAACAAAATAAAGAGAGTACAAGACATTTCCTAATCTGCAATTAAAATGAAATGCTAAAATAATTGTTGTCAAATTGAACATTTTTTTTGTACTAACAAAACTAAAACTACAGGTAATCAAAAGAAATTGGTTGCGAAATGCTAATTCAAGTCTACGACGAAATATTTTGAGGTAAAATAAGGGCCATGTGTACATGTATTCATTTATGAACAAAATAAAATTAGTCTTTCCTACTTTTTAGGTTTATCTAAGTAAATTTGTACATTTAGCAGTTTAACAAATTGATAGTTGCAATATAACTTTTATTCAGATAAAAGAAGATCTTGATTTCTCACTTTGAATAGATCAAGTAATTTCGTCACAGCCTCCTTTTCATTTAAATCTTCGTTCTCCTGAATTTCCTCCAGTGCGTCCGTCCACTCATTGTCATAGAGTTCCGAGTATTTCTCTCCCAGCTTTTGCGGTCGATTGATGTCACTCAGGTCCTGAATGCGGGCATTTCCTGCTGTCAGTTTGGCTCCAGCTAATTTACTGAATCTAAAGAAGTATTTAATATTACATTGTACTATAGCAGAGAAACTACTGACCATTATATTTTGATCTATTAATGTACAAGTATCTCTAGGGTTCACAGGCATAATTCAAACTAGATTTGTTGTGGATGTAGCAGAAAACTACCGGTAGATGACTTCTGAATTTTGATAAGACATAGGTACAGACCTTTATGACTATAAAAAGATTGTTGTCAAATATATAAAGAAGCTGTAACCTTAACTACACATATTTTTAGTATAGATATGTTGGCCAGGATAAATACAATGTAATATTGTTTTCAGGTTAAAGTTCAACAAATTTTCTTGTACAGTCACATGATTCAACAACTGCTGGTAATATTTCATTAATTAGTTTTAATCAATTTATTTCTTTAAACCATGTACTCTATGATAAATTTCATGAAAAGCAAGGAGCCTGGGAACCCAGATGGTAAAAATTTACTGAAAAAGTAATTCAAAATAATTACTTTTAGCTTTTAAGAAAATGTATCATGTTGACCTAAAATGCTTTGACCTGTCCAAGTAACCAAATATGAAGCTTCTGTTTCGAAAAGTTAAATATATATATATATATATATATTATAACAGTAACTTCATCCGAAGGGTCGTATCACATCAAGTTGACAGATCAAACTAGTCACGAAGCGTCGAGTTTGATCTGAAGATCTGCGCCTGTCAATGAGACGTGATATGGCTCTTGGGATCAAGTCACTGTTATAATGATAAATTTATTATATACCCCCTTACAACTAGCTAAATATAGTAAAATAAAACTTTAGAGATTAATTGTATATTTATCCATAAAACAAACCATAATAACAAGGGACCTTTTAACGAGCAAGAAAAATAACGTCATGTTTCTGCGTACTACGTCATCAGTTCCAGAACCATAGTGTGGTGATCCAGAAAGTCTGATCACGACGTCAGGTGATTGCGTAAAATCAACAGTAAAATTGAGTGATACACATTAGGTACATAATAAAGAAGAAGGAACGGTTTCAATACATATCTTGCCCTGTGATTTTCTTAAAAATGAAATTGATGTAAAAAATGAACATTAGGTACATAATAAAAATTACGCAAATCATTTTTCTCAGACACATTTCAAATGCTTTTCCATAAACATGTGCATTTTCTGTTGCCTTTTCAATGGAATTTTATTTAAGAAAGCATACATTTTGAGATATATGATTTTCCAATATTTTGCAAACATATTCAAATATTAAAGTGGTGTACTATTTTGTTTACTTGAAATGGGTATTTTAAGGCTTTTTCCTGTTTGAGACTCTCTTTATGTAAACTCCTTCATGTTATATTCTTTCCCGATCTTTATCAATCATAAACTCAACTTATATTTAAGCCAGTTTAAGAACCTTTTGAAATCATCAAATTTTTAGGGCACAATAAAGCTAAAAATCCATACCTTCTTCTTACTAGACAAACAACTTTTCCCAATTCTGCCTTCTCAACAGCATACATGTACTTTTTATTTAAGTGGTATATTATTTTGTCTTGATTATTTTCAGACTCTCTGTAAACTTTGTTCATCTCCCTTTCCTTAGCTATTTCTTTGTTGGCCTCATCTTTATATTTCTTGTTCATCTCTAATCTTTATATTTAGAGCTCTCACATTCTGTTCTACTTTATGATATTCATTCTGAATATGAAGGAAATCTTCATCTCTACGCCTCAACCTATCATAAAATAAAAAAAATATGGCAGTAGTTCTTTTGAATTCATGCAAGCATTTAAGATACGCCTAAAATTTTCAGTCATTAATATTTTAGGGACATCTTGAAAGAGCTCTAAAAAAATAATGAAAACCCTTACTGATGATAGATCTTTTCTTTATCCTGTTGGAGATGAGATTTTTCTGCTTCAAATCTTTTAACTTCTTGTTCTTTTACCTCCAAGCTGCAAACAAATTTTACAGTAAAAATATCAGAAGTTGTAAAACTCAAAAGCATATGCAGATACATGTACTACTATGTGTTCAATAGGATTCCTATATACCTTTCCCATGTAAAACTTTGTTTGCCCCTTGAGGTAATGTAGATTCAAGTTTGTTCAAATCACCATCCCAATGGGTAGGGTTTGACCATAATGGACAATCATAGTTTGACATGGGAATAAAAGGAATTTTTTTTTTTAAATCTTCTTTTCAAGGACTGCAAAGCCATTATTAGTCATATTCATCTGAAAATACTCTCAGATATTGTGAATTCAAGTTTGTTCTATCAAGTCATTTGGGAGGGCGGGAGTCATACCTTCTCCTTAATTCAGCTACTTCTGTTAATCCAGCTACTCTGGACTTTAATTCAGCTGTTTCATTTTTCTTTAATTCCTCTTGATTTTCAGTCCTAGTTTTATCAACACCTTTTCTTGCTGACCTTTCCCTTTTATTACTAAAAAGAAATGACAAAATGTACATTGTATCAATATTTATGTTTTTGCAGCAATGAAATAAGATGTCTCAATTCTAATATTTACTCTAAAAATAAATGGATCTGATGTTTTTCGTATCTCAATATTTCAGAAGTGTTCTTGGTTATATTCAGATTATGAAGAAGTTACATTAATTTTCAGATTAAGTTTACATAGTTTTTTATTCCTTCTGAATGATAGATTGTTGGCAAAAGGAAACTCTTCATTTTGAATAGAATTATACATGTAGTATATCATTTAATAATTCCAACAATTCTAATTTACACTATCCTGATAACTGAATTACTAGTTAGTCAAATTGTAATTTTGAAATGTTCTTTTGGAAAATAATGAAACCAAACATATAACCTTCAAGCTGTACACTGAAAAATGCAGGTACATATTACTGTGATACAAATGAAATGCAAATTAAACAAAACTCAGAATCATAATGTACCTTGGCTGCTCTTGCTTATTTTCTTTGGTTTCTTCCTTACTTCTTTGTGAGCTTGAACAATGCGAATTCTGCAAAATACCAGGTATAAAGTGAATAAAATACATGTAATTAAGACTACATCAGACTGATAAATGCCATCTAAAGACATAATATCAAAGATCTAAATCCTCATTAACACATTATGACAAAAGTACCTTGCAAATTTCTAAAACTTGTTTGATATCTTCTATTTTCCTATCTCTTAAAAATGTCCAGTGGTTTCCATGAACTAAATCGTCAAAGAATTTAACAAGGGGTTCTGGGCATCCTTTGATATGCTGTTCGATTTTATTCCAAAGTCTCTCACTGGGTTTATCAAGTTTATTAATGTCTTCTACTTGCTTTTCAACCTCACCAATTTCATCATTTTGTTGCTTATTTTTCTTCTTATTCTTCCTTTTTTTCTGTCCCTCTGTTCCTTGGTTATCCATTTTCCCTTCAACATCTGGCTTCTCCCTTTGTTCCTCTGAATTAATCACTTTCTCTGATTCTTCTTCCTTCCCCTGTTGAGAATCTTCTGTTTTTGGAGTTACAGGAACTTCAGGCATTACAGGAATTTTAGAAGTTACAGGGAGTTCGGACGGTGGAGAATCTTCTTGTCTTTCTGCCAATGGAGACTTTGATTCTGTAGAATTATTTTTGGCTTTTGACTTTTTATTTTGGTCACCATGTTTTGGTGTTGACGACCGTTTACCCCTTGGCATTTTCTGGAAGATAAACAAATATTTTAATAAAATTATTTGCATTCAATTAGATATGAAACATTAATAGTTAAAACATCTTAATTTATACATTCATCACTGTCATACAATGTTTTGTTCATAAATTATATCTTAATCTCTCCTTGGCTCTCAATTTACCACCCACGAGTCTGTATATCACTATATGGATAGCTCTGTCTAACTCAGGTCTGGATGAGATTAAAATACAGTCGTTTTATCAGTAATGAATATTTGCCAGTACTCTTTTCAATATTCTAGAAAAACATAGAGATAGGTTTAAAAAATCTCACAAGGTAAATTCGATAAAAGGATGAATATTCTATCCCTGCATTGTGTTTTTGTAATATCTGCATAATTATTTCCCAAGTATTTACAATTTGAAACAATGACCTAGATTTTAACCTGCGGAAATGCAAGTAAAAGAAAACGAAAGTGTGTAAACAATCGCTTCTAAATATTTTTTTCCAATATGTTGTCGATCCAGATTGAATATGTTATGAATATTTAGTATAAATGTTACAAGATAGAATATTAAATTAAACAATATATGACTTTTGAATGAAATTTTAACACCCAAACTAACCATGTGTTGTTTTCTTAGTTACGAATCACGGATTTTCGAAGAACGAAAAATGCCGTTTTACGGGATGCAAAAACAAGAAAAGCTGAAAGAAGTAAAAATACTATGAAAACAATTTACAAGCAGAAATATTCCATGAAAATTATGTATCAGAGATAGTTGATTTAATTTAAATAACGAGTGTCACTAAAAGTTTCTCATAAAATAAGTACATTTTTCATATTGTTTAGTTTTAGAAAAATAATCATTTAAATCAATAAGAAATGCTTATATACTTTATGTAGAGTCTATTAAAGGTATATTTCTGCAATAATTTCGACCAACCAATTTTATTCATTAAGTCTGCAACAATAGAGAGCACTTGATTCTTATAATAATACTGAAAAATCGATTCAAAACTAGGAAAATAAGGGGGTGATATTTATGACAGCTCTCTATCTGTACCATTCATATTTTTGAAATTTTGGTACCATCTATTTGAAAAGCTTGCAAATACAAATAAAACAACAACAAACAAAATTTGGAAAATTGGACTGTGGGTTGTGTGTAACACATTACTAGAAACCGATTCGTTACTGGTAAATAACTGTATGTGATTGAGCAAGCTGGTCGGCGAATTCTAAACGATAGTTCTTTTTGTTTAAGATACAAAAGACAAAGAAAAATAAAACAAACTCGACAACTACAACACTTTTAAATCAAGATTGCTGTGTGATTTTCTGAAAATGCGTTTGAACACCCCCCCCCCCCCCCCCTTGAGCTGTATTGAGGAGGCAAGCCAGCTGATACATGTACGTGTAACTTTTTGCATAATAAAATTGCCAAATGATTTTCTCTGTATAAAGTTTTCTTTAATCAAATTAAATTCAAAAACTTGCCTAGAATGTTCAATTCTCACCTGGAAGTGCCTACTTTCGTTTTGACCGTTTCTTTTATTCTTCCTATTTCAATCAGAGTTATCCTTCTTAGCTCAGGAAAAAATGCTGTGCTATTTTTAGAGCTGAGTTAATTTTTAGAAACTAATGTACCCAGAAATTTATAAATAAATGAAAGGAAAATCCAGTGTTTTTCAATCCTTAAAATAGTTCTTTCGGGAAATTTCATACCTTGGTATAAAATGTTTGTCTATATAGTCTATCTCTATGAAATAATTCATTGCGCACAGAAAGATGGATACGATAAATGTTGTCTCCAGAACAGTGAGTGAAAATATTTTTTTTTTCTTTATGTGAATAATGATATTTATTGGTTGCTGAAGGACTTTCAGAGCATTTGAAATATTTGATACATATCACAGGCACCTGACGTTACTTATTTTTCTTATGTTAGCAAATCAGCTTTACATGTTTCATTTCGCTCCGAAATACTCAGTATAATATTTCATTTATTTGAAATCAAATACAGGTCAATAAATTTGAAACTATCCATCTCCCATCTTTTTGTTGCTGTTTGATAAACAAGGGCAACTTTTACCTGGAAACAAAAAAGAAACCGAAAAATAGAGAAAGGCCATAATTATATTGTATACAGAATTTAACTCATTTTATTGAATTAATTTGAACATTTGAATATTTAAACCTTTTTGCAGTTCTGCTAGCTGCAGATAATTTCAATGTTTAAAAAGAAAAGCATCATCAGCATATTTTTAACTCAGGGCGAAAAATATTGATAAAATATTGTTTGGTCCAATGGTTTGAGAATGTATCATAGAGCACAGGTGCTTGGGGAAGGGACCCCCTCCCACTCGTGTTCCGTACCCCAAATTCATATACCCTCTGACACTAAAACAGAACTTCTGTTTCAGTATCAGAGAGTATGAATTTGTAAAATTTAAAGGCTAGTTTTAGCTTAGATTTTTATCAGTTGTAATACTTTGTGAATATGTCATAGAAAAATATTTTATTTTTTAAAAGTCGAAGAACCCTTGGGGTGTGGAACACGGAGTAGGGGGGGGGGGGGGGGAGTCCGCTCTATACATACAATTAAACCTATTTTATTGTATGCATCTGAAGTTTGGGGTTGTTTTAATCCATTTACAAAAAAAAAAGCATACCCAATTGTAAATTGATAAAATATACTCCAACTTATTCTGTGAAAAACTCCACTTGAAATTTTGTAAATCAGTATTAGGTGTGCATAAAACTGCAACTAATTTTGCTGTATTGTCTGATTTAGGTAGATTTCCCCTGCACTTTGACATTGTAAGATCAATGATAAGGTACTGGTATAGGCAAAATCTAGGCCATTCTTTCCCAATTTTAAAAGATGCATATTGTGAATCCAAATCATTGTTTGAGAAAAACATCCCCCCCCCCCAGCTCCATTAATTTTCTTATTACCAATATCGAGGGTATTCGTGATTTAACTTTTTCAAAATGCACAAATTCAAACGTGAACTTAAAGATTGTTTATTTAGATATTATATACAAATTCTCAATTAAAACACTCTGATAAAAAGCTGAGATGCTATAGCACTTTTAAACAAACTTTTGGTCAAGTAAAGTATCTTAATTTACTTAAGAATTTTGAACAGAAAAATTTTACTCGTTTTCGCATATCAGCTCACAGACTTAATATTGAAAGGGGTCGATATATAGGCATTCCTAGAGAAGAAAGACACTGCAATAGATGCAATAACAAAACAGTTGATGATGAGAAACATTTTCTCTTTTTTGTAATCACATTAAGGATGAAAGAAAAGTCTTGTATGAATTAATAAACAATTCCTGTAAAATTTCCACAACTTGGACAGTGAAAATAAGTTAAATTGGCTCATGACTAATGAGGATGTGCAAATACTGATTCAAGTCAGTAAAATGATTATGAGAGCTGAAGTATGAAAAGTATTAGTAAACCTGGTTTTTTTTTTTTTTTTTTTTTTTTTTTATTGAAATTTAATGTGTCCCCTCATTCCCTTCTTAAATGTACAGAATCAGTCAGAATGGGTGTCTTGAATTTTCTTAGAGTACGGGTTTGCCAATAATCGGCTGTGCAGAGGCATCGTCCCCTTTACCCTCTGTGTCCAAGTTACCTTTTCTTTACATTAATTGTATGCTACCTTCAAGATCACAGATTTACATTTATACAGGATAGTACCATTTGTTTATATATATACATATATTTGTGTGTAAATTATTATTTTTGTATGCATGGATATGTGTAACAATAAGTGTATGTTTATAATATATACTATACATACATATATTTGTATATAAATTATTATTTTTGTATGCATGGATTTGTGTAACAGTAAGTGTGTGTTTGTGTATGTGGGTATGCATATGTCAAATATTTTGAACTAACTCCAAGAGATTAGTTTGCATTAAGTTTATAATTATATGCTAAGTACTTATTAATTGAAATTACTATTTCTGTTAATACTTAAATGATTTTTTTTTGAATGACCATCTTCAATACTTAGGGTACAGGTTTGCCAGACTGGCTGTGTAGAGGTATCATCCCCTGTGCCCTTTGTATTCAAGATGCACTAGTTTTATATTAGAGTACTGCCATTACTACAAGATTTTTTTTTTTTTTTTTTTTTTTTTGAATTTACCTTATATCTATCATTTTTATTTAATTGTGTTTTCTTTTATCATTCTATGGTTTCTATGCTTTTGATCCAGTGTGGTGATGCACTTCTCAATGTCAAACTTAATCACAAGTCATGTTACATTATCCTTAATATAGAATTGTAATCAATGTTATCATTTTGTAATAATTGTTCATGCCCCCTGTGGGCCCTTGATTGGTGAATAAACATATAAACATATAAAGGAGGTGGCGGGACTGCTTTCTTTATGACGTTAAATAATAAATTGCAAAATGCAAATATCACGAAATCTGAAATTTGGATAAATTTTCAGGAAACTTTTAGTACCTGTCAGCGTCCTTTGCCATGTGGACATTACTGTGGGGGCGTTGCTAACGAGGTGTCGTGTGCCCCCTGTATGGTTAGGGGGTGCCAGGACCACAATTATCACGGAGATGGTCATTGTCCAGTCTGCACAGAACCATGGACATCAAAGCCTGTTATTCAAGTAAAAAATATTACCAAGTTACATTTTTCCCTAAATTACATGTGTATCTCTCAAAGCATGTCGTTCCTCGGCATACATTAGGGATGTCGTACAATATGCTTACTTAAAATTTAACTTAATTATTTGACTTTTTACTAGATTGTTTGTGGGCACGTGTTCCACTCCGAGTGTATGCGACAGATGCTGACAAATCGTTGGCACGGATCAAGGATTACGTTTGGATTTATGTTGTGTCCATTATGCAAGGTATGATTGATTGATTATTATTTATATGCACTTGTATAATTATTTATAGACTTTATCGTATACATTTTCAAAGTTTCAAAATACTTGTATCAAACACTCTCAGACTTGCTGCTTATACTTGAACAGAATTCCTTAAGTCATCCCGACCTGTATGAAATAATGTCACCTTTGATGCACCTGTACGATAAAATCAAGACCAAAGCACTCACCCGTCTTCAGCATGACGGATTGTTCCAAGACAAAGACATCACCCAACCATCAGGCAAATATTATAAAGACCCGGCCGGGTTTGCAATGGACAAATACGCATACTATATGTGTTCGAAGTGTCAGGAGGTATAGAATATCTTTTTTATAACAATATACATGTAATATTCATAAAGAAAAAAAAATAAGGTGTGATTCGTCATTAATTCGCCGATGTTTACATTTTAGCTTTACTCAGTACCCTTTCAGTATTTTTTTTACTCCTTCTAGCCGTACTTTGGTGGAGAGGGGCGTTGTCAAGACGAGGTTGAGGAGTCGGATCCAAAAGAATTGATCTGTCCACTGTGTAGTGATACCACCAAAAACAAAGTAATAATCACATGTGGTTATTTACAAAGAAAAATTGTGTAGCCCGTTACTTCAACATCGATTTAACCAATTTTTTTATCTACATCCAGTAAATGTTAACCTTAACTCTCTCTTTCTCTAGGTGTGTTCTCGTCACGGCTCTGACTACCTCCAGTATAAATGTCGTTATTGCTGCTCCTTGGCCACATATCATTGTTTCGGCACCACTCATTTCTGTGACCCGTGTCACAGTAATCACACAGTGGTTCACGGAAAACCCACAGCAAACCTACCCAAGTGTCCATCTGGTATGTACAGTTAACTTATTCATGTATATCCCCTTTTTGTATTAAAAAATAATTTGTATACAAATCACTTTTTACACACCAAGATACTGTTAAGCAATTTGATACATATAATGTACAATGAAACATCTTACACTTTTATGATTTTCCCCTCTCGTTTTAGGACCCTGTGGTAAACAACTTCCGGGTTCTTCCTGTCCCCTCGGTATAGCGCACCCTCCCACCGGGGAAGAGTTCGTCATTGGTTGTGCACTGTGTGTCAATTCCAGCTCGTTTTAATCATTGTTAATAAACTTTTAAACTAATATTGTCTTGATATGTTTATATCCTAGCTGAGAACAAGAAACATCATGAAGTCATTTATGGTGTATTTTTGATAAGTTCAGATAACCAAAATTAATTGTTTTACTATTTCATATAAAGACAGAATTTTTCTATAAAATACACAAAGTAAATCAGTTGGGTTTAGATATTTTAAAAAACTAAAACAATAACTGATTTATTTATCAACTTCAAATTTAAATACTGGTACTGACAAAAGAAAGTCAATGGAGGTTATTCAAGTTCGAAATAGTTTTTTTTTTAAGCTCAGTTACACGTACGATTTTATAATTTATATATATACTTTTAAAAATAGCTATAAAAATGTTAATTGAACCGAGATAATTCAGAAATCAAAAAGTTCAGTTTTTCTGGCCCATTGGTTCCTAAGAAGATTTTTCTGATTCCTTAATGTTGTCCCGTTATCATGTTGTAAATTTTGCATTTACCTCCCCCTAGTAAATTCAAAATTTACAACATGATACCGTCATACCCCTAGGGTCATGATTTGAACAATTTAGAATCGATCCCACCTCATTATTCTTCTATATAACTAGTACATGTATCAGCTTTTCTGGCCCAGTGTATGGCACGCCAAATTCACAAAAATGAGCTCAACATAGTTTCATAGCTGATAAACTAGGTTTATCAACTGTAAACTATAGTTTACAAACCGTGAACTATAGTTAACAATTCGTTAACTATAGTTTTCATTTGTAAAACTATATTTAACGGTTGTTAACAATAGTTTACGAATGCTAATATGAGTTTATATGTCTGTAATAAAGCGTTAACAATAGATTTTGTTGAACATAGATTCACGTTTGTAAACTATAATTTACAATCGTAAACTATGGCACGCCAAATTCACAAAAATGAGTTAAACATAGTTTCACAGTCGATAAACTGGGTTTATCGGTTGTAAACTATAGTTTACGGACTGTTAACTATAGTTAACAACGTTAATCTATATTTTACATCTGTAAACCATAGTTAACGCGATAATCTATGTTTCACAACCGTAAAGTATACTTAACACCGAAAACAATCATTTGCGATTGCAAAACATAGATTATCTGATAAATACAGTTTCACGATTTGTAAACTATAGTTTACAAACCGTTTACTATAGTTAACGATCTGGATATAAATATAGTTTCACGATTTGTGAAACTATGATTAACAACTCTTAACTATAGTTTACGATTGTAAACCATAGTTTAAAAACGTGAATCTATGTTTATCAACAAAATCTATTGTTAACGCTTATTACAGACAGATAAACTTAGATTAGCATTCGTAAACTATAGTTAACAACCGTTAAATATAGTTTTACAGATGAAAACTATACTTCACGAATCGTTAACTATGGTTTACGGTTTGTAAACTATAGTTTACAGTCGATAAACCTAGTTTATCAATTGTGAAACTATGTTTAGCTCATTTTTGTGAATTTGGCGTGCCATAGTAAACTATAGTTAAGAGCAGTTAAATATAGTTTCACAAATCGTGAAACTTTCTTTATCAAATCGTTAACTATAGTTAAGAGTTGCAAACCATAGTTTTACAAATCGTGGAACTGTATTTATCAGATAATCTATGTTTTGCAATCGCAAATGATTGTTTTCGGTGTCAAGGTTTACAAATGTAAAATATAGATTAACGTTGTTAACTATGCATAAATTATCCCATGTTCCCCACTATCGATGATGTCCCTAGCATACTATACTAACTAGACAGTGATTCCTTATATTTCCATTTCATTTCTGTGACCCGTGTCACAGTAATCACACAGTGGTTCACGGAAAACCCACAGCAAACCTACCCAAGTGTCCATCTGGTATGTACAGTTAACTTATTCATGTATATCCCCTTTTTGTATTAAAAAATAATTTGTATACAAATCACTTTTTACACACCAAGATACTGTTAAGCAATTTGATACATATAATGTACAATGAAACATCTTACACTTTTATGATTTTTCCCTCTGTTTTAGGACCCTGTGGTAAACAACTTCCGGGTTCTTCCTGTCCCCTCGGTATAGCGCACCCTCCTACCGGGGAAGAGTTTACATTGGTTGTGCACTGTGTGTCAATTCCAGCTCGTTTTAATCATTGTTAATAAACTTTTAAACTAATATTGTCTTGATATGTTTATATCCTAGCTGAGAACAAGAAACATCATGAAGTCATTTATGGTGTATTTTTGATAAGTTCAGATAACCAAAATTAATTGTTTTACTATTTCATATAAAGACAGAATTTTTCTATAAAATACACAAAGTAAATCAGTTGGGTTTAGATATCTTAAAAAACTAAAACAATAACTGATTTATTTATCAACTTCAAATTTAAATACTGGTAACTGACAAAAGAAAGTCAATGGAGGTTATTCAAGTTCGAAATAGTTTTTTTTAGCTCAGTTACACGTACGATTTTATATATATACTTTTAAAAATAGCTATAAAAATGTTAATTGAACCGAGATAATTCAGAAATCAAAAAGTTCAGTTTTTCTGGCCCATTGGTTCCTAAGAAGATTTTTCTGATTCCTTAATGTTGTCCCGTTATCATGTTGTAAATTTTGCATTTACCTCCACCTAGTAAATTCAAAATTTACAACATGATAATACCCCTAGGGTCATGATTTGAACAATTTAGAATCGATCCCACCTCATTATTCTTCTATATAACTAGTACATGTATCAGCTTTTCTGGCCCAGTGTATGGCACGCCAAATTCACAAAAATGAGCTCAACATAGTTTCATAGCTGATAAACTAGGTTTATCAACTGTAAACTATAGTTTACAAACCGTGAACTATAGTTAACAATTCGTTAACTATAGTTTTCATTTGTAAAACTATATTTAACGGTTGTTAACTATAGTTTACGAATGCTAATATATATATGTCTGTAATAAAGCGTTAACAATAGATTTTGTTGAACATAGATTCACGTTTGTAAACTATAATTTACAATCGTAAACTATGGCACGCCAAATTCACAAAAATGAGTTAAACATAGTTTCACAGTCGATAAACTGGGTTTATCGGTTGTAAACTATAGTTTACGGACTGTTAACTATAGTTAACAACGTTAATCTATATTTTACATCTGTAAACCATAGTTAACGCGATTATTTATGTTTCACAACCGTAAACTATCATTAATTTTGCGATTGCAAAACATAGATTATCTGATAAATACAGTTTCACGATTTGTAAACTATAGTTTACAAACCGTTTACTATAGTTAACGATCTGGATATAAATATAGTTTCACGATTTGTGAAACTATGATTAACAACTCTTAACTATAGTTTACGATTGTAAACCATAGTTTAAAAACGTGAATCTATGTTTATCAACAAAATCTATTGTTAACGCTTATTACAGACAGATAAACTTAGATTAGCATTCGTAAACTATAGTTAACAACCGTTAAATATAGTTTTACAGATGAAAACTATACTTAATGAATCGTTAACTATGGTTTACGGTTTGTAAACTATAGTTTACAGTCGATAAACCTAGTTTATCAATTGTGAAACTATGTTTATCATTTTTGTGAATTTGCGTGCCAAAAAATAGTTAAGAGCAGTTAAATATAGTTTCACAAATCGTGAAACTTTATTTATCAAATCGTTAACTATAGTTAAGAGTTGCAAACCATAGTTTTACAAATCGTGGAACTGTATTTATCAGATAATCTATGTTTTGCAATCGCAAATGATTGTTTTCGGTGTCAAGGTTTACAAATGTAAAATATAGATTAACGTTGTTAACTATGCATAAATTATCCCATGTTTCCCACTATCGATGATGTCCCTAGCATGCTATACTAACTAGACAGTGATTCCTTATATTTCAATTTCATTGTGAAATTTAATTGTAGATTTAGACTTAAAAATGTAGACATCGATTTAAATTACACGAGTACTCGCAAGACAGTTTCAACAGTCCTCGCCCACTGACGTCAAACACAAAGGCAGCCGTACGAGATTTACATGCATATTTGGCCTCCTTTATAGCGTCAGACACAGACACAGATGCGCACGAGATTTGTATGCATATCAGTCCTCGTTAGCGCCTGACCTATCGACCTGCCTAAATTACATTCCGGTAGAATTATCAAGAAATCAACTCCGCTATTTTTCAAAGAGTTATCACAGAGAGAAAAATTAGAAATGGGAATATAGTCCGTTTAACTATATAGTTTACAACCGTTTACAACAGTTTTTTCGACTGTGAAACTATGTTTAGCTCATTTTTGTGAATTTGGCTTGCCATACCAGTGGTTTTTGAGAAGATTTTTAAAGATTTGTCCTAGTATATATTTCTATGTAAAACTTGGATTCTCTATCGTGGCCCCGCTCTACCCCCGGGGGTCATGATTTGAACATTTAGAATCTACACTACCACATAAGTTTCAGCTTTTTTGGTCTAGTGGTTCATGAGAAGAATTTTTAATGCACCCTATTCTCGTCTTTTCTTGATTATTTGATTTTATTTATTTCCCTTTGGAATGGGGTTGGTCCTCCATTTTAAAAATTTTAAATTACAATTTCCTTTACCCATGGGTGCTTTGTACCGAGTTTTTGGTGAAATAAAGTAAAACCCAGTGGTTATTGAGAAGAAGTTGAAAATGTGAAGAGTTTACAGACGGACGGACGACGGACATTATAAGTGATCAAAAAAGCTCACCTAAGCTCACTTGAGCTTTCAGCACAGTTGAGCTGAAAAAAAAAACAAAATAACTCGCGTGCCTCGTCAAATATAAGTCCTGATGTACACCCAGTCCCTGATGTACAATGAATTCCTGCCGCATATTCATAATTCATACACCTACATGTAAAATATCAACACAAAAAATTATCTGTTAATTTTCCAGTAGTACTATATTTAGCCTTCGATCGTCAGTCCTCAACTGCATGCCTTGTCAGTCTACATGATATCCAATATATGCGTAGGGGGTATATATACCTGTATATCATCCACTCAACAATACATAATACAGATTTTCTGAGAGTTGAAGCAAAGATTCATGATTTCATTTTCAGAAAAAAGTCAACTAGTCCTCGGATTTTTTTTCTAAAAATATAGCCCTGCTATAGGTTTCTAAAAATAGATGTTACGCATTTTTGTATAAAAAGACTCTATAGAAATTGAAATTGCAATAGTGATGGAAATATTAGGAACTCAAATGGTGAGTAAAATTGATGTAGTTGTAATATGGCATTTTACATACGTTACATTTTTGTAAACATCCTTGATTGTATCATATTTTTGTTTAAAAAATGATATTTTTCGCCCTTTTCATACATCAATAGATATTTAAATCATTTAATTGTCTCGAAGCTCCCAGGTAAATAACGCAATAAAGTTCGTATTCTTGCAGTCAAAAAAAGTACAGGATTAATAGGGGAGAGGGTTTGGGTCGCATGACATTAATAAATAAAACAAGATCAATTAGAAAAAAAGTTTTGGTAACATGGGGAGGGATGTCTTAAATCATACTATGAACGTAAAATAAATATACATGGGACAGTCAGGTTGTCTTTCAATAGTAAACTGAAAAATTATTAGTAAAATTAGTAAGATAAACTCTTGTGAAGAAAAAATTTTTTGATATAAAAAAAAATGTATACATCTGCAATTCTGGGAGGATAGCGAGGAGGGGGGATTCTTTTAAAAAAATGTTCTTGGATATTGAAGAATAGAACTCACTGTAGTTTTAGATAATTGAGAAATTAAGACTCTTGGCTATTGGCATCGGATTTTTCTCATCACAAAAATAACCCCCTCCCCTCTCCCTTTAGAACCACAGGGAATATATTTGTGATAGCAAAACAGTCCGATATTTTGTACATTTATCAATAAACTTTGCCACATCTCTCTATCTCTCTCTCTCACGTTCACCCCCTCCCTCAATACATATGCTAAGTACACAATTTCAATAGATTATGTCTATTATAAATAATATATTCACAGGAAACCTTTAGAACTTGCCAACGCCCTTTGGCTTGCGGACATCATTGCGGGGGCATACCTAATGAAAATTATTGTGCACCTTGTATGGTGGAGGGATGCCAGGATGACATTTACTATGGAGACGGTCACTGTATAGTGTGCGCTGAACCCTGGACTTCTAAACCCATCATACAGGTTGCTATATTTTCCCCAAAATCTCTTCTTAATTTTTTTTTGTTTAGGATACTGTATATTCTCCATTTAATAAAAAAAGACCGACAATCCGATTACTCTTATATATGTATTCTTATTTTTATACGGTTATTTATGTCTCTGGGCATGTATATATAAAAATGTTCCTCCATACCTACCATATTTTTGAAAGTCCGTTTCGTCTCCTTCAAAGAATTAATGTAAGTTTTTCTTGTTAAACTTATTTCTGCTCATTTTAACCTAATTTTGTTCATTTCCCCAGATTGTTTGTGGACATTTGTTCCACTATGACTGTATCCGACAAATGTTGAAGAATCGCTGGCACGGATCAAGGATCACGTTTGGATTCATGCTATGTCCTTTATGTAAGGTACACAAGAATTACTCTCAAACAATTATACAAATGCTGTACAAATGCTGATATAGTCATTCCAAACGACATTACACATGCATGCAGATGTGCTCAAATTACTAATTAAAGTTTTTTTCAACAGGTTTCGATAAGTCATCCTGACCTTTGTGAAATAATGTCACCTTTGATGCACCTGTACGATAAAATCAAAACCAAAGCACTCACTCGTCTACAGCATGACGGATTGTTCCAAGCCCAAGACATCACCCAACCATCAGGAAAATATTATAAAGACCCGACTGGGTTTGCAATGGACAAATACGCATACTTCATGTGTTCAAGATGCCGACAGGTACTTTTGCATTCATTTCATTTTCCTGATTTGATTTCAATTTTGCATCGGTTGTTCCCGGCGCCAAAAGAAGAATGATTAAGCGACACTTTTAACTCTTTCTAGCCGTACTTTGGTGGAGAGGGGCGTTGTCAAGACGAGGTTGAGGAGGCGGATCCAAAAGAATTGATATGTCCACTGTGTAGTGATACCACCAAAAACAAAGTGAGTTTTAAAGGTTATTTTTTAAAAACTATATGAGATTTCAGTTTACCTTCAAGTTTTTTATGATTACTAGTATCACATTTGATTGATCAAGAAAGGGCTACAAACGTGTAACATGTACTACTACTAGTGCATGTTGGAAAAACAAGCTTAGATTTCATTGTTATAATTGTTTTTTTGTTTATTATCTTATATAAATGAATGTTTTGTAGGTGTGTTCCCAGCATGGATTAGACTACCTGCTATACAAATGCCGATATTGCTGTTCGCTGGCTCTGTTTCATTGTTTTGGTACCACTCATTTCTGTGAAACTTGCCACAATGATTACACAACTGTCCACGACAAACCAGAAGAAAGCTTGCCAAAATGTCCTGCAGGTGTGTGGAAATGTTCCAAATACTAGTTTCCACCTTTTTTATATAGTTTATACAATTTAAGCCCTGTGCTAAAAATGTTCATTCGTCTTTAATAAACAAAATTCAGCATATTTTTTCTTCAAAATTTGAAGTGGCATATTCATCAATTAGGTATAGCATTCAAATATGTTTCCCTTTACATGCAGGTCCCTGTGGGAAACAGCTTTCAGGCTCCGAATGCCCCCTGGGGATAGAGCACCCTCCCACTGGTGAAGAATTCGTCATTGGCTGTGCCATGTGCATAAACTCTAACTCTTTTTAAATTACAGTAAAACTTGTTCTTACACATGTACACATTTTTGTTCTTGTTTATGTAAATAAATTATGTGAAATGGGCTCTGTTATCTCTTTATGGCAAAACTTTCAAGTACCATTATATACCTTATAGAGACAAAAGAGTTACATTATTGATAATGTTAGTGTATACAGGCACGTAGCATCGTTTTTGAAAGTGGGGGGGGGGGGGGGCAACCAGAGAATTTACTTACCTGTTAAAGTTGACAAGTGGCCAACTTTTTCCAAGGCCAACTTCTTTTTACTTCTAATTTTTTTTTGCATACAATACAACATTTCCTTTTATATCACTATACTGTGGTAAGAAGTGTGTGTGTGGGGGGGGCAACCAACCCTTCAATGGACATTTTCAATAGTAAAGGTAATAGTAAAGGTAATGTTGGGAAAAAAGTAGGGGGCAGGCCTCCCTGCCCCCCCCCCCCCCTGTTGCTACGTCCCTGGTATATTAGAGTACAAAAATAGAAAATAGTATACAGATTGAACCTTGTATCTTGCTTAATCCTCAATGCATGCATTGTCAGTCTATCTATACAAATATATAAATACATATACATGTATACCCGGAAAGCATCCACTCAACAATACATGTCACACTAGAATCACTGAAAGTAGAAGCGAAGGCTCATATTGCATTTTCTGAAACAAGATTTGTTTGTGAAACACTATGGGCCCGTCGGCAACAAAGTTTGAAAAAAAGCTATTATAGCATACAAGTCACATTCAAGGTCACAAGGTCATTGACCTTGGTGTCATTTGAAAGTACTGTAACTCTTTCTATATACAGTAAATATGACATTTTTAAAACATGCTAATTTCAGCGAATTTTTATTTTTATTTTGATGAGGGTATTCAGACACACCTAGAAAAACACATGATACACAAAATACACCATCCTGAAAGCAAGCGCCTACGAGTTCAATTAGTGGAGTATGCATATACGAAATATAAATAATTAAGCCTGTATCTTTTATGGTTCAAAAGTTATGCCGAAGGTTAAAGTTTGAAGACAAACAAACAGATAAACAGAAAAAACAGACAGACAGGACAAAAACAATATACGCCTCGGGTCTATCGATTCGGGCGCATAAAAAGGCTGCTACTACTTCTCTAACAAGATGTTCAGTCTCTTATACAGAGTTGTCGTTCGTTCCTCTCTCAGAATGTAGAGGGTGGACTACGTTTCTAAATAAAATATATATTTATACATCTGTATCTAGATCTACTCAACAATATCTGATACAGATTTCCCGAGAGTTGTAGCAAAGTCTTATTACATTTTTTGAAAACTTAATGTGCTTCCAGCAGCTTGCCTTTTCTGTTTGGAATACTTAGTATTTCTAAAAATATAACACGACGACGTTTCTAAAAATAGATTTTATACGTATCATTGTATATAAAGATAAAGTCATACCGCAGTAGTGATGGAAAAATTAAATGCTCAAATGGTGAGTACAATATTCTGAAATTTGGCATATATTTTGAAAATATACTGAAATTTGTTTACATATTTTTTAAAAACTTAAATGCAATATTCTTATTTTTCTGCTTCTTATTTCCTTGAGTCATTTTTTTAAATAAATACTTTTTGCACTAATCATGCGCACATCATAAACATTTTGTTGTCTCGAAGCTCTCTGGTAAATTAAGTAATAAAATAAAAATATGTATTTTTTGATTCATTATTATTATTTTTTTTTTTAATCAGTAAAGCATACATAAGTAAGAAAAGGGTTAGTGGAAGGGGGGGGGCTGTACACAGCTAGCATCACACCAGTGAAAAAAAACATGGTTAGTTGTAAAACATGCCTTCATTTATACTAGCCATCAAACGGTTAACTGAAAAAATTGGGAAGAAAAACTATATTGAAGTAGTGGGTTTTTAGGTTGGGGGGGCTGAAAAATTATACACTCTATTTCATTTTAAGCATAAAAAAATCAGGCATTCCATATGCTCTCATACAACGAAGCATTGAATAAACAAACTCACTTTAATTTTAATGACTTAAGGTGTCTAATAGGTATTCACACTCATGATTTTGTATTTTTAATTTATCAATAACCTTCGCCACATCTCTCTCTCTCTCTCTCTCTCTCTCTCTCTCTCTCTCTCTCTCTCTCTCTCTCTTACCCAACCCATTCCAATTCCCTTCTTCGATACATATAATAAATGCACATTTTAAAAACAAATTTTAATCAATATATAGATTATGTTAATTTTAGTTTATATATTCACAGGAAACCAAAAGAACTTGTCAACGCCCCTTGGCGTGTGGACATCATTGCGGGGGCATACCTAATGAAAATGTTTGTGCACCTTGTATAATGAAAGGATGCCAGAATCAGAACTTCTATGGAGATGGCTATTGTATAATGTGCACTGAACCGTGGACATCTAAACCTATTATACAAGTATTTATATTCTGCCAGCTTTTAAAATGAAATTGAGGATAAGTACTGTATATTCTTCATTGGAGTAATTTAATTTAAAGACCGTCAATTCACTTATTCATAGTTACGGCATGTGTATAAAATTTTCATCCGCTTTGCTTCCTTTAAAATCAAAGACAATTTTTTGCGTTAGGATCATTTCTTGTCAAGTAGACCAAATATAAAACTTTTTTCCCTTTCCCCAGATTGTTTGTGGACATTTGTTCCATTATGACTGTATCCGACAAATGTTGAAGAATCGCTGGCACGGATCAAGGATTACGTTTGGATTCATGCTATGTCCTTTATGTAAGGTACACAAGAATTACTTTTTGAAAATACAAATGCTTATAGTTATGTGTATCCAGACCACATCAAACAAATTACCAATCATATTTTTTTTCAACAGGTTTCGATAAGTCATTCTGACCTTTGTGAAATAATGTCACCTTTGGTTCACCTGTACGAAAAAATCAAAACCAAAGCACTGACTCGTCTGCAGCATGACGGATTGTTCCAAGCCAAAGACATCACCCAACCATCAGGCAAATATTATAAAGACCCGACTGGATTTGCAATGGACACATATGCATACTACATGTGTTCAAGATGCCGACAGGTACTTTTGCATTTTTTTCCCATTTTACTGATTGACATTGATTGTTGTGGCGCAAAATTCATGATATACAAAAATTCATAGTAACTTATCTTTCTCTAGCCGTACTTTGGTGGAGAGAGACGTTGTCAGGACGAGGTAAAAGAGGTGAATCCCAAAAAATTGATCTGTCCACTGTGTCGTGTTACGACTAAAAACAAAGATACCACCAAAAAGAAAGTAAGTATTGACAGGTCCAATGTGTTGTGAAACCACCAAAAAATGAGAAAGCCTTTTACCGTCTGATCTTTTATGAAATTTTGCTTTCATAACTCCTGATACATAGTGACAAGATACTAGTAGTACACATGTACATGCTAGGTGAATAGCCTAGGGTTTACTGCTGGTTGTTTTGCTGATGCAAGGTTCCAATCTTCTTAAAATTAGTTTTAATCAAAAAGGTGATTTTGTAGGTGTGTTCTAAGCATGGACTGGACTACCTGCAATACAAATGCCGCTTTTGCTGTTCACTAGCTCTATTTCATTGTTTTGGTACCAGTCATTTCTGTGAAAATTGCCACGAGTATTATTCAGTTGTTTACAACGCACCAAGGGAAAGCTTGCCAAAATGTCCAGCAGGTGCGTGAAAATGTTCTAAACACTAGATTTCAAATTTTCATATTTTGATTTGATAACAAGTACATGTACTTGCATTATATACGATTTCATTCGTCTTTGATAAACAAATTTCAGCATCATATTTCTATATTATGAGGTAACATAGTCATGAATTAAATCGTACTCTATTTCTCTGTATAAAACATGAAGTTCCTTTTTGCAGGTCCTTGTGGTCAACAGCTTTCAGGCTCCGAATGTCCTCTGGGAATTGAGCACCCTCCTACCGGAGAAGAATTCGTCATTGGCTGTGTCATGTGCTTAAACTCAAACTCTTATTAAATTGTTGTAAAACATTTTATTACTTTTATAAATAAATTATGTGAAAATGACTTTGTTATTCAGGCACAAAGCAACAGGGATGGGGGATGCCAAGAACCAATCATTCAAAAGTTGTATTCAAGGACAGTGTTTTCTGGTTTGTCAAAAGGTCAAAATAGATGGTATGTAGTGGAAGACCTTGCCATAATAAATACAGATGCAAAATATAAATGTAATGGCGAAAGTTCTTTTTTTTTGTATGCCCCCCTTATACGAAGTTTCGAGTGTATATAGTTTTTGTCATGTCCGTCCGTCTGTCTGTTTGTCTGCCTGTCTAGCTGTCTGTCTCTCTGTCTAGCTGTCTGTCTGTTTGTCTGTTCGCAAAAACTTTAACCTTGCCCATAACTTTTAATTTAGTGGAGCTATGATTTTCATATTTCACATGTGTATTCCTTGTGACAAGACCTTTCTTTGGGTACCATCGAAATTGAACTTGGAGTTTGGCCCACTTTTACACAAAAATTCCAAACTTTAAGTTTGGGCATAACTTTTAAATGGTAGATACTAGAACTTTTATATTTCACATATTTATTTTTGTGGCTAGGCTTTTCATTGGATACCAGCAATTCTGACCTCTTGACCTTGGAGATTTCCGTACTTATGAAAAAACTTTAAGCTTGGCCATAACTTTTGAACGGTAAGGGTTGGGACTTTAATATTTCCCATATGTAATCCTTGTGACAAGTTGCTTCGTTAGATACCAAGTACTTTGACCCTTTGACTTTCACCTTGGAGCTTGACCTACTTTTAAAATACAACATTGACCATAATTTTTGAAGGTTTAGGACTAGGGCTTTCATACTTAACATATTTAATCCATGTGACAAGACCCTTCAATTGAAAGGTCAAGAGCCTTGAACCTTTGACCTTGACCTTAGAGTTTGATCAATTTTTACACAAAAAATCTAAACTTTTACTATGGCCCTAATTTTTAAATGGTAAATACCAGGAGATTAATATTTCAGATATCATTTTTTTGTGCCAAGACCTTTTATTTGAAACCAAGAATTTTGACCTTGATTTTGGACATTTCCCTACTCATGAAAAAACTCTATCTTAGGCCATAACATTTCAACGGAAAGGGCTTGGGCTTTCATATTTCATACATGTATATGTAATCCTTGTGAGAAGACCTTTCATTGGATATTAACAACTTTGACCCTTTGACCTTGACCTTGGAGTTTGTCCTAGTTTTAAAAAAATTAACATTGCCCATAACTTTTGAACAGTGAGGACTAGAACTTTCATACTTCACATATATAATCCCTGTGATAAGTCCTTTCATTGGATATCAACAACTTTGACCCTTTGACCTTGGAGTTTGACCTACTTTTTACAAATTTAACCTTGGCCATAACTTTTGAATGGTAAGGGTCAGCACTTTCATACTTCCCATATGTAATCTTTGAGACAAGGCCCTTCTTTAAAAACCAACAACCTTGACCATTTGACCTTGATCCCGGAGTTTGTCCTTCCTTTAAAAACGTTAACCTTGGTCATAACCTTTGAACTGGTGGTGCTAGAGTTTTATATTTCACATTTGAATTTCTTGTGAAATGGCCTTACTTTAGATACCAACATATTTGATCTGCATTTGAGAAAGCTTAAACTTCGCTGTGTTGCCATACGGGGTCATCAGTGTTTCACAAAAACATCTTGTTTCATAAGTAGGTCAAACTCCACGTTCAAAATTAATGATACCCAAAGGAAGATCTTGTTATAAAAATATACCTGTACCTGTGAAATTCAAAAGCTCTAGTACTAACTGTTCAAAACATATGACTAAGGTTAAAGTATTGTTCAGAGTTGGTCAAACTTTATTACCAAGGTGAAAAGGTCAAAAACTTACACCCATTGATGGGTCTTGTCATAATAAATACCCACGTGAAATATGAAAGCCCTAGCACTAACTATTAAAAAGACATGATCAAGGTTAAAGTTGGGTAATTTGTTGCAAAAGTGGGTCAAACCTCAAAGTCATGGCCAAGAGGTCATATATGTTGGTACTCAAAAGAAGGGCTTATCACAAGGAATACACATGTCAAATATGGTAGCCATACCTCCATCTAAATCAAAAGTTTTGAACAAGGTTAAAGTTTTTGCAGACAGACAGATGAATTCCTTTTGAAAGGACCTTCCTTTGGGACACCAACAATGACATTTTGACCTTGCGATTCGAGTACTTTTGAAAAACATTAACATTGGCCAAAATAATTACTAGTAATTGACCAGTAGGTGATAAGGCGTAAATAATATTTCACAGGTGTATTTCTTGTGAAAAGGCCTTTCCCTTGGCACCTTTAATTTGACCCTTTGACCTTGACTTTGTAGTTTTACTTACAATTATAACCTTTATCATATCTTTTGAATGATTAGCGCTTGTGCTTTCATATTTCATTGGTATATTCAGTAAAATGAGTCTTTTCTTTGGGTAACTTTTTTCATCTCTTGGGCTCGGAATTTGATTGGTATTTGAGAACCACGTACAAGCTGCCGTACCTAGGGGGCATCAGTGTTTCATAAGCACGTGTTTTTGTTTTTTTTTTTAATTTTATGATATACTTCCCTTGATATGTACTTTTACTGACATATGCAAGACACTTTGTACCCCTTGCATATCTTAATTTCATTCACCCAAGATTAAAATGATCAAAAAATGTCATTAACATTCTCAACAGATCGGTGAAACTGATGTTATACTTCCCCATCAACTGTGAAGAATAGGCCTCAGATTAGTTGCAATAATGTAACCCTCTCCTTTTTTTTTTTTTTTTTTTTTTTTTTTGCATATCTTAGTTTTTAAAATGTTCGGAATATGTCATTAAAATTCTCAACAGATTGAAAAAAAAGGAGAGAGGGCTACATTATTGCAGTTTGTGTCAGATGTGACTTGAAAGATTATTTTCACATAGAATATCTTTTAAAAGTTTTGACACACACACACCCCTCCCCCCTCCTATAAAAACGCGATATGCCTATATTTATGATAGATAAAGGTATTTTAGGAAATAATTTATATCATAAGCTCTTTAGATTTGGTCTTCATTCTAGTCAAAACTTAATCTCAATGTTGTACAAAAATTATTATTTGCAAATTAAACATATTCTACATAGATCTATTCTCTGTAAAAATAAATCGTTCTAAAAAAAACTGGCATCCTTTTCATATGCTGAAACCATGCTTTTAAAGTTTCACGAAACTCTCTTCGGTATTCTCCGTATATGTGATTTGACGGAAAGGGCCGACGTATTTTCCGAATGACCTTCCGAAAATCTCCGAAGACCATGATGAATAACGTTGAGGATACTTTTAGCAAAACGAAAATGAATTTAGCTGTATTTGCACCCTTTTAAGAATTAAATTAGGGTATTGTATATTAATTTTCAATTTTTATTTTTATAATAACTATTTTTTTGGCTACAAAAGGATTTTCATTTTCATTTTTTGTATCATTTAAATATAATCGTTTTGTCAAAAAATTACCTTGCATACTCTTTACTTTCATTTCTTGCATGACATTATTTTACGTCGCTGTGAAATGACTAGCAAATACAAGTTATGAAAACTCGAAATCAAGAAAATATATGATGGGCGAAATGCAGAAATATATTGCTTTGGTAGATCAGTAAGAAAGTAGCTTGGAAATGGCGACCTTGCAGATTTCGCCAGCTTCAAGAAGTGAGCTGTCCAGGTTCCTAACAGGAGGCATCCTCAGGGATAAATTTCACAACCTGTTTCAGTGGTGCGATGAAGAGAACATCAAAAACAAGTACGTATGCAAGAGAAATGAGTAAACATACATTGAAATATATAAGGAAAACAATATGGCTGGACTGGAAATCTTACCCCAGGATCCCTGCATTACTTGTCAGGTGCTCTAACCATTGAGTTTTTCAGGCTGATGCCCTCAGTCCAGCCTAAATTCCAACCATTGCATCATTTTGAGATAAATAAGTACAAGTAATTTGATATAAATGTCAGGATAATAAAAAGAGATGTAACTGCATGTCTTCATTTTTTTTCTCTAGCCATAAAATATCCCATTATTAAATATTGACTCATTTGCTTGGCCTGTTTTCACTCCAATGGGTCTAAATAATGATCTTTTTTCTTTTCCACTTATTATTTTTATCAGAACGGACATTGCTGCCATAAAGAGACCTCTATTTGTAGTTTGCTGCTTTTAAACAAAACTCAAATTCTGAATCTTTAACATGTGGAGGAAGCTTGTGATTCCTTAAATTTCCATTCAATGGTGAAATAAAATTGTAAATTTAGATTTTAAAAATGTAGACTAATAGATTTGGGTTACATGAGGCCTCCCATTTCAATAGTCCCTGCCCACTGACATTAACCACGAAGACAGATGCACAAGATTTACAGGCACATTAGGCCTCTTTTGCTCCTGGCGTACCGCTTGGCGAAATATACATGCCGACAGAATGATCAAGAAATCAAATCAACTAACTTTCAAAGAGTTATTGTAGAGAAAACAAACGGAAATGGAAATATTACCGATATATTTTGATTGCGCTTTGAATATGAGTTTTATCTTATTTACTGCTACTACATATAACTTTTGTGCTTTTCTGTATGTTAAAGCTGAATCATATTTATGAAAAAGTAATGTATGCTTTCCAGGCTGTATTGCAATTTAATGTATGATAAGTTAGTACTTAGTAGTACTGTGTATTTTGGTCAATATGGCACTTGTATGATAAGTTATGTACCGGTATGTTGATTGTTGAGACAAGGACTGTATGACCTATTGACCTTTATTTGTCAGATATGTTTCACTGGAGCGCTTACAAAAGGTTTAACTGAATTTGAAATATTTTTTTTTTCTTTTAGAAAATTGAAAAATGATAAGAGAAAAGGAAAAAAGAAGTCCAAGAGCAAATCTAAGGAGAAGAAGAACAAGGTAAACAAAATGAGAAAAAACTTACATACAAAATTTGATATAGGATATGTGTATTTAAAATAGCAGGCTTCATATTTT